CCCGAGGACTGCCACGGGCAGCAGCCGATGGGCAGCAGAAGTCTCCACGTCCAGTGGTGGCATGTACGGGACCTTGGGCACGATCCGATCCTCGTCTGCGTCTTCTGTGAGAGACACCTACGGAGTTCGTGGGTTCAGAGAAATCACAGATTTCACCAAGCGGGTGGCAGACCCTTCACTAACACGTTCTCACTCTCCTTCAGAAGGTCCTTCCCCAGGTGAGCTCAAGTTAGAAGTGAAATACCATTTTTCTTGTAAGTAAAAGGAGGGCTGTTACTGTATCTTAGACTTGCCTGACTCTCTTCTGCTATGCAGAATATATTGTTTGGAAGGATGCAGTGTGATTTTGTGTCTGAAATATTTCAGCTGTTGCTTGATCAAAAAATGTGGTTTGGGTTTTTTACAGAAAGGGCGCATGTGTGGGAAGTTTCATTACACCAAGAAAAATAATTAACATTCAAATCACGATTCTTTTTTTTACTATCTCCAGTTGCTATCTCCATTTTATAGGCAAGAGAACTAAACAATTGAGGATTAGATCATGTCCCTGCAGTCCCAGGGGCTGGACTTCAGTTCCTGCCCTCTGTCCTACCCCTTAGACCATGCTGCTTCCCAGAAATTGAACCAGCTCAACAAATTTAAGGTGACTTTGAATCTGGTCTCTGAGGTCCTTCATGCTGCTGTTTGGTCCTAGACCCCACTGTGGTGCTGAAGGGGTCTGATCCCCCTGATCCCATTTCTTCAGGTTTCCTTAGGACCTTCACACTGCTCAGCGTTGTGCCTCATCTGAACTGATTTCCAGGCTTTTCAAAGTTGTTATGGTATTTGTTTGTTCTAGCAGCATGGAGTGCACTCAGGCACATAATGGTGAAATCAAGTGCACAGTGTTAGTAATTCAACAGTTTTTATATAATAGCACTTTTCTCAGCATCAAGCAATGTTTTTTAGAAGACCAATTTCTGTAGGAAGGATTCACATCTTTGGAAATTTCCTATTTTCTCTGGATTGACATCTTCTCATATTTTCTAGTTGTGCATGTACTTACTGCCTCTGGGTGTTACTGGAAGAAAGCTCATCTGTTTATTTATAGTTTCACATGTGTAAAAGTGTGAATTGTTTCTTTATCACATCTTAGCTACTGGAAGCAGCCATGTGTCACTCAGCATCCTGTCGACAGAGGGAAGAACCGATTTCCCCACCACCAGCGCCTCTGTTTCCACAACAGCCACCAAGGGTGGAGGGAGGACGTTCAGGTCTCTGCCAGACAGCACCAGGCTGACCCAAACAACAGAGATTTCTGCCACTGGTACTGAAACCATCAGCTCTCCAGACCATACCCGGTCATCTTTGGGAGCCCAGGCTGGTGGTGGCCGAGGTGCCACAGCGTCGTCCATGGACCTGTTGCTCACAGGCTCACCGTCTGCTTTGGAAAGTGCTTCCCCAGGTGAGCTCTGACCATCCCCATAGGGCTTCTTTCTGTAGACCACAAACATCCACTCTGTGTGGAGTGAGGGCCCGCTAGAAGATTCTATACAATGGCATCGGGCATTATGGAGGAAAATTTCATGCATTAGCTGTTTTTTGCATTTAGTCACCAGAAGAACCCAACCTTACTGCAAGAGAAGCCTGGCCCTGACGCTTGTTGTGTTTTCTGAGGCAGCACCATTTCAAGACCACCTTGTTGGCTGTGTTTATACAAGCAGGAGGCAACACCAGTCATTCCTGACTCCCACCCCGGGATGCAAACGCAGCATATACTGACCCCGCATGGCCCTGTCGAGCTTTGTTTCGAGTATCAGGGAATTAGGTGCCACTGTAACCCCACCTCACTCGCCCTGGGTGCTGTGGTGGTGGTGCAGGCGCGGCACCCACGGCTGGACTGGCACTGGGAGCAGCACTGAAGGGAAGCAAACTCAACCGTGCTCCCATGACTTGTTCCTAATGCCCTCTTCGGGGTGTCCTTCTGTGAGCAGCACTCTCTTGCACAGGAAAGGGTTATGTCTTCACAGTTTTCTCCAAGTTTAGATCTTCTGCCACGTTATATCTGTGCCGTCAGCCTAAGGGTGTTGATGGAAGAGAACGCACCCACCTGTTTATAGCTCAGTGTGCATAAATCCATTCTCCTTTGTCCTTTCTCAGCAGAAGGGACCTTGGCTACGGGAGGACGCCTGCCCGATGCTCCTCTCACCAGTACACCTAGCTCGGTGACGGCCACCAGCGGTGGGGAGAGGATCACGGTGCCTGTTTCAGACACCCGTGCAGCATCCAACACAGCAGGGAGCTCCACTCCTGCTTCACCCCACACCAGGTCCATGGACGTGGTCATTCTGCCATCCTCATCGTCAACAGAGCCTGGGAGGCAGAGCAATGTTTCGCAGAGCAGTGCTGGACTCGATGAGCTTGCAACTAAGCCACTGCCTGCGTTTCCTCCTGGTGTTTCAGTGCCTTTGCCTTCACCAACTGCTTCAGGTGGGTCTTGTGGTTTCCCAGTTTTCCATGGAGGGCATCTGTTCTCCTCACCCCTGTCCCGACCTCCCACCTTCCTTTTTCTAGCTTTAAACTAGATTTGCCTTTTTAACAAGCCTGGTTTATAGGGAAGGGAGGCTGAGCCCTGCACGGTCAGCAAATTATTCACCTCATGGCACCCTCTGCCTTGGGGCAGCCCTTCTTGTGTCAGGAACTAGATGGCCAGGCAGCTCTTCTGGGCCGTGTGTGAAGGTGATCAACCCTCAAACTGGGAGAATCTGGCATGAGATGAGGCGAGGGATTGGTAGACTTTTTGCCCTTCCTTATATCCCAGTTATCATCTGTTTCAGCCCCAGCTCTGCTTCTGGACCACCAGAGCTGGTTTGAAACCCACTGATCCACCCAAGGGAATTTTCTGCAGAATGTGCAAAACCAGGTCCTCCCTCCCTGCCATTGTTCTTCAGAAATGCCATGCACTCCCAATCTGTTTTATTTTTCCAGTGTAAAGGGGAAAAGTACAGATCACCTGGGAACCCCACCTAGCAAATAAGTGATGTTGGTCACCAAGTGCCACCTCTGCTTTGGGAATTGAAACATTCAGATTTTAGTCCCTGTAGAGGTATTATTAATATACTCTCTCTATATATATTTACATATATATGTGTGTGTATCTTGGCTTTGCAATTACAGAGAGAGGAAGAAGAGTTTCTGGTGCTCCTACTGAGACCACGTACGTCTCAACCACACTCTCCAGCCACAAAGAGAGGACATCGCAGGCTGCAGCTAACCGTGGCATGTGGAGCACAGCAGCAGAAAGCCCCACGTCTCACCTGGACACAGCTGGGGAGCCCCGCACTGGTCCTCTGCTGTCCTCCACGACATGGCCTGGACCAGGACACATCTCGTCTGGTCGAGCAGTGTACCCAGAGCCCAAGGTCACTCTTTCATCCAGGGTCTCCACCTATTTCTCAGCTGCCAGTGAACCTGCCAGTGAGTTTTTCTGAACTCTGGGATGGCATTTGAATTAGGAAAAAACCCACTGCCTCTCCCTTCCCCTCTTCCATGGGGTTGATATGACCACCAACATGTGTCAGATCTGTGGCGGGTGTCGTGGGCAGGATTTACAAGCGGTGGTGATTCTGCTCCTTGGTGCTGTATATCTGCAGCTGTTGATGCTTAACAAAAAACTCTCAGGAATGAGATGTGTAGCTTCTTGCTGTAGGACGCATCTACTACCTGCCTGGGTTGGGGTGATAATTATAAATAACATAAACATGCCGTTATGACTAATGGCACTGACTGTCCCTCTGTATTTGGACAGTCCTGTTTCTTTGGAGTAGGCTTTGTATGTTAAATCCACATTTAAGGTGATAGATATGTGGAATCTACTTAATCTGTATTTAATCTGTGTTTATCTGTGCAATTTTATTAATCTGCATTTCCAAACAGAATTATTGTAGAACTCACAAGTGCTCTCTGCTCTGAGATGATAAAATCAGATGCCTGCTTTTTGATCCTATTCCAGCTGTGGGCAGCAGCCATCACTCCCTAAGCAGCTCAAGTGCCGAGGAGAGGATGTCCAGCCCCATCAGTGATCCTGCCTACAGTTCATCCATGTCTGCTGGCGATGGAGGGAGGATGGTCACAGGTGGTGCGCTGGCCGGTGGCATGGAGACTTCCGCTTCCTATGCCGAAATCACCAGCTCTCCAGAGCCGGCTCAGCCGGTGTCGGTGGAGCAAAGTGGGACAGCCAATGTCTCGGCCGGCGGCAGTGGCTTTGCAGGCTTTGTGACAGAGACACTCTTCACACGTTCTTCCAAGACACCCACTTACTCGTCTTTCCAAAACGATCTCACAAGTAAGTTAGTGTCTACCAGTGTACATTTGGGCGGAGCAGTTCACATTGTCCTGCATTTATCTGTGTTGTGTACAAAGTTCTCATTCGTTCGTATATGCAATTCCACCTGTGGGTTCAGTCAGGGGGATGTTTTCGTAGAACCATAGAATGATTTGGTTGGAAGTGACCTTAAAGATCATCTAGTTCAAACCCCCTGCCATGGGCAGTGACACCCACCACTAGACCAGGTTGCCCAAAGTCCCATCCAACCTGGCCTTGAACACTTCCAAGGATGGGGCATCCACAACTTCTCTGGGTAACCTGTTCCAGTACCTCACCACTCTAACAGTAAAGAATTTCTTTCTAACATCTTATCTAAATCGCCCCTCCTTCAGCTTAAGGCCATTACCCCTTGTCCTATCACTACATACCCTTGTAAACAGTCCCTCTCCAGATTTCTTGTAGGCCCCTTCAGGTACTGCAAGGCCACAATTAAGTCCCCCTGGAACCTTCTCTCCTTCAGGCTGAACAACCCCAACTCTCTCAGCCTGTCTTTATAGGAGAGGTGCTCCAGCCCTCTGATCATCTTCGTGGCCTCCTCTGAACTTGCTCCAACAGCTCCATGTCTTTCTTGTACTGGGGACCCCAGAGCTGGATGCGGTACTCCAGGTGGGGTCTCATGAGAGTGGAGTAGAGGGGGAGAGTCCCCTCCCTTGACCTGCTGGTCACGCTTCTTTTGATGCAGCCCAGGATACGGTTGGCTTTCTGGGCTGCAAGAGCACATTTCTGGGTCATGTTGAGCTTCTCATCAGCCAACACACCCAAGTCCTTCTCCTCAGGGCTGCTCTCAATCCCTTCTTCACCCAGCCTGTAGCTGTGATTGGGATTGCCCCGACCCATGTGCAGGACCTTGTACTTGGCCTTGTTGAACTTCATGAGGTTCGCAAGAGCCCACCTCTCAAGCCTGTCAAGGTCCCTCTGGATGGTTTTCATCAAAGGACTCAAAGACAGATCCCACCTAGCTGGGGAATCATTCCAGAAGTGAAGCCATGAACCCAAGCAGGGAAACTCTCGTGTTTTGATGGCCATGTTACATTTTTTGCATCCTAACTGGGTTTTTTTGTGTGATTCTTTCAGAATTGTTTCATTATGACCTAAGTCAATTGTGGCATTAAACCAAATTTTCAATACACTATTTTTTATTTTTAGAGATTGCTGAACTTAGCTGTACATCCTGAAATTTGTATTATAGGATTGACTGCACCTTTTATGTTAAATAATCTGAATTTTTTGAAGACTGATGTGCTACTCATTTAGGATTTCCTGACTGCAAAGTTTTCAATCAATGACTTCATGATAAGCTGCAAATTAACATAATGTAATAATTTCATCCTGCAGACGCATGAAGTTCACTGTGTCTAAAAACAAACTGACTGAAGATAGATATTCTTCAGTTGGGAATGGAGGATAAGAGGGAGAGGATATGAGTTTTATAAATTATGAGTGATAAAGAGAACAGATGGGTTTTCTTCCTTAGCTTGCCACAAAATATCATGGAATGATAAGTGCTCAATCACATTAGAAAAGCAATACTAGAAGAACAGTGTTTTAGAAACCTACGCATTTCACGGGAGCCTTGTGTCTGTCCGAGTTCACCATTTTACAATCAATTAAGGAGTGCCGAAGACTCCTAATTCAATACTCATGCTTGGATGGTGCTATAAATTTTTAGAAGAGCGTGGGCCAGTTCACAGACAAGTGTATTTATGTATTTAGCAAGTGATTTTAATATGACATCAAAATACTTTCATATTACTCTGTCTTTCCAATATATTTTTACCTTTTACTCCAGGCTTTTCAAGTAGCCATCAGCCAGTCAGTAGCATTGATGCTGAGAAAAGGACCTCAGTTTCTCATACAGACGGCACATACATTTCAACTACATATACCAGAGGAGGAGAAAGGACCCTCCTGTCTATCTCGAATAGCAGCACCTCTGCTGACTCCTCAGAAAGTTCTACCTTTTTTTCCGAAATTTCCAATCCTTCTGATTCATCCAAATCTTCTGTGGCACAGGATAGGAGGAGCAATGTATCTAGTGATGGTGGTTTTGTTGAACCATCTACGGAGCCGTTGCTGGTACACTCTTCCAAGCTGTTGACTTCTGCTTCTGCAGGCAGTGTACAAAATACAACTCTCTTCAACACTGACTCTGAGTTGTTGACCACTGGCAGATCATCTCTATCATCAGCATTTCCAGCCTCTTCCTCACTGTCATCGCTGCATCACTCGCTGTCATCAACACCACCACCAACTTACCTGTTTACATCATCAGAATCATCTGAGCCACTCTCATCCTCTGTGATGGCATCTTCACCTCCTCTGCAGGCTTTGTCGTCCTCCTTGCCCACTTCCTCATTGCTTTCCCCATCTTATTCATTAGCATCTTTATTGCCTCTGTTTTCATCACCATCATCTGTCTCACAGTCCAACGATAGTGATCAAGCAAGCACCTCTACAGCTACAACTGTGGTCAGGCGGGTGCCCTCCACAGCCGCCGTGGCTGAGAGCTCGCCCAGAGAGACCAACAAGCACAGTGTCACGCATCAGCCCCATCACAGCACCACCTTCACCTCCACCGGGTCTCCTCTCCCTACGGGGCCCATGGAGCAGCTTGGTGAACGCGTCGTGTCCATGTCTGCTGCCATGACAGTAACGGAGACTGCCTCGCCAAGTGCAGCCACCACCCAGGAGGGCAGCTTTGGGAAGGCAACGCCACTGCTCACCATGGCCAGCGACTCCCCACAGACTAGACCAACAGATGCACCTCTTAGTCCTTCACCAAGTGCAACAAACCACAGCATCATCATCCCTGCAGTGGCACTGACCACAGTGAAACCTCCTGTGCTGACAACACCAGCCAGTCACTGGCCAACCCCAGGTGATGCTAGCACCATGAAAGCCCACAGAGCTCAAACGTCCACTGCCACTAAGCATGTATATACCACTGGTGAAAGCAGAGAAGCTGTGGATCCCACCACTGCAAGGCCTGGTAGAGTCACTGAGGAAAACATCCCTGTTACAAGTCCTTCTGAAGCCCCTCCAACCAGCAAGACCACTGTGAGCATTGCAACTACTTTGGCTGCTACCAAACCAACCACTGTTCCTCTGTCGAGTAGCACAACTGGGCTGAAGATGTCATCTCCGGCAACAGGTAATGTGTCTAATGGTGCTCAGCAGTGGTGGGGCCAGGGACGAGTGGGCCAGGAATGCCTGGGTCCCACTTTAAGGGTCTGTGAAGGTGTATGTATGTATGTATGTATAAGTCTGTTTTCAGCAGGGTTTGAGGATAAGAACTTGGCTTCCATGTTGGTATTCTTAAGCTAAGGGTTTAGCAATCAAGCTGAACTGCTGAAAAAGGGTGAGCATTTTGGTGAACATTTCTGATAGAAATGTTAAGCTGAAATTTGAGAATTTTAAGAAAATAAAGCTGACTGGCATTCCAGGTAAGCATAGGATGCATTTTATATTTGTCAATAGGTGGACAATATTGATCAATATCTGTCTTATTTATGAGAAAAGGTGTTTGGCCAGCACTTGATATTTATGTTGGAACTTCTGTTATTACATCCAGTCATTTTCTCCCCACCTCACTAAATCTCCTACACAAAGGCCTGTTGCTTCTCCAGGTAGGCTCTGTACCGTAGTCTTGCTGCGTATGTTATTATAATCTTTTATTACCACTGCCAGGTTCCTTATCTTCAAAAGTAAACGCATTGACCAAAGTTTTATATGAATGGGATCAATTGTGTGTTTAAAGTTCAGGAGCCCGGCCCTCATGCTACTGTAGGCTATAGTGTGTGTTAATGACATTAATCTCAGTGAAATACTGGCAATAGTATATATTCCATCCAATAATTATGTATTTAAAGGTTATTTCTCAGGCTAATTGGTTTTAATTATAGCTATGGTTTCATGCAAAAAAATTCACTGTAGGGGAATGGATTTTTTTTATTGAAAAGTTAAGGTAACATATCCTTTTTACCAACTGATTCACACTTCTGCTGAGTTACTCTTTCCTTTAAATACCGAGTTTTGCCATTCACCAGAATGCAAAAATCCTGCTGCTGCCTTGGACATGGTGCTTTGTACGTGGGCACTCACTGCCACGAGAGAAGCTGCCCTGGTCTCCACTGTACAAAGCACAAGCTGAAGGATGGTAAAGTGAAAGTCAACATTTTAAAATATGCCCGCTCATTTCTGGCTGCTTAGATCACAGACACCAAGTCTGCTTCTTGCTGATGCTGAGGTAGCTGTGCCAGGCTAGTCGAGACATGGATATTGCGTCAAATGGTGTGTCGTGACACGGGGGTCGGCTCGGGACTGTCTGGTCCGCACAGCCTGTGCGATGCCCTGGGGTATGGCAGCGCTGTCAGAAGTACACGCACGGGTTTGGCTCTCGTGCTTTGTACTTTAACCACAAAGCTCATCCTTCCTGCCTCTGCTGCAGTGCTCAGCAGCAGCCACAAGATAGGTACGAGTGGTGTGTAAGCTGTCTTGCTCGTCTTGTAGTGTCTTGTTGTTGACAAGTCCACAGTCCTGCCAACAGTCTGCTCTTGCACACGTGTGTGATGTGCGTTTGTGCTCGTGTGAGTCATATGCACAGCAAGAGGAGCATTTTTGACCAGGATATTTTTTTCAAAGGGAAGTATTGGATATCTTCTCCAGAATATGCAGTTTGAGTTGGCTAATCCATGAAGCATCTGAGACTACAGATCCCCCGATACCCTGTATTTCACAGGGCTTGGATGAAAAGGGCAGGACTTTGGTGCTCCTGTGTCTAGCTCCAGCTGTTGAGGTCCCTTCTTTGGTCTCTCCAGCCATAACTATAGGGCTGTTTGTCTTTGAAAAGCACCCTGAGATCTACAGATGAGCAGTGCTGTAGGCAAGCTGGGTGTTCATATTAACATGGATCAACACTGGTTCCCAAGGGCTTTCAAATGAATATTCAAGTGAAAGTGGTTTGTATTTGTTCTTTCACTTCCAACAGAATAATTAAGAACAGGATAAATAGTAAGTGCAAATGATGCAATGAAGCATGTGATAATGCTCAGGGAGTCACAGAAGAGGAGCCAAGTTGATCTCTTTTAGCCCAACAGTTGAAGATTTTTGTGATTCTGTAACTATAGCCTGGTTTGTTGGTTTTTTTTTTCTTTTGTAGATGTGGATAAATGTCTTTCCAACCCTTGTCCTGCACTGGCCACCTGCAACAATACCCGTGGTTCCTATATCTGTCAGTGTCCTCTTGGATATGAGCTGGAAAAAGGAAAGTGCAATTTAGGTAAGAAAACAAAGGTGAAAAGCCAGGGGAGAATAAGATGGAAATAATTATCTGTACTCTTCTAAAATAAATTAACCCAGGCTCAGGCTAGTTCAGGAGCTTAATATTTTTCCAACCACCACTTTTAAGAAGAGCCTTTTACTATTTATACAAGCGCCTGTTTTGTTGGGGTGCCCCGGGGAGCAGGCACAGTGATAGCTGAGCATTTCTTAAAAACGCAGCAATGGAGTGGTGGGCTCAGGCTCGTTAGTAAAGACAGATGTGCTCCTTCTGTTCCTACTGTGTTTTACAACCCCTAAAAATTGTTCAGCAGCTTATCTTAGCTCCCAGCTCTGCAAACCCGGGCAACAGCGCTTGGCTTGGGAGAAGTGAGTGTAACCTGGCTTCAGTGGGATCAGCCATGTGTGGAAAATTAAGCAGCCATGAAAGTCTTTGTAAGATTAAGGTCTTGTTTCGTACCTTTAGCATTTTTCATGCAGCACAGTTATTAGCTGGAACTCAGGTTCTGACCCCCTCCTTTTTATTAGATGACTCTCAATCTCAAGGACTTACAATGTCCCATTGTAAAGGGGAATTTGTTTCGCTGGAGTTTCTTCTGACCTTTAATCAGTGAGGATTAGAGCCATGGAAATTTTGCTAAGGAAACATGAGTGAGGTGTCCCTGAAGGGTGTTTTGAAACATATCTTTGAGTTGGAATGTGTCAGTTTCTAATTTAGAGAGTTGTTTTGGTTATGCCTTGAACAGGCAGATTATATAAATACTGTGAAGGTGATTCTCCTCTTATTTTTACCCAGAGTTGTTACATTAGAGCTGTCTGATATAACATTTGTGGTGAAGATAGGCTCTGTGAATGGGAAAAAATGGGAAAGAATTGGAGGCTTTATAATGTTATCTGCAACCTTATTTGTTTTTCTGGTGGAACATAAAACTGGAGCTCTGAGTTCTCATTTCCACCAAGTATCTCATGACACTTAATACAAGATCTAGGCATATTATCTTTCTGAGTCTGGACGACTTGGATTATTGCATTCTGCTGCCATGAATCAAATATGAATCTAAGCATGGAAAAATGCATCTTTTGGACCTCTTTTCAAATGTCATTGCTCATTCTGTCCAACAATTTGAAAAATGAAAGTCTTCTTTCTACAGCACTTTATTTTGACTTGCTGATTTGCTTTCCTTGCATTGCAGGGAGGGGTAAGAGATTTGACATGTTTACCCCAAATCATTATAAATAGCTTTGGTACCTGAAACTGTCTTGTTACTAAATTTACCCAGCTCTCTCTGTGTTCAGGGGTTCTTTTAAATTAGTCTGTGTTTCTATATGAAATGTATGAACACTGCGGTGAAATGCTGTCTGTTCGGCAGCATCAGGCTCTGGAATTTGACTGGGGCTGTGGGAACATCGCAGCAACCCTTGGGAAAAATCTCAAGGCTGGGACTTTGCATTATTGGGGCAGTGACTCCAAATCGAGTTTTCTGTCCACTGCCTGAAGGGATTTTCCATGCAGACAGTCTCTCATGTAAGGCGGATGAAACCACAGCTACACATAGCACAGAGACACGTGTTTTGACTAACTTGTCTTATTCTCCTTTTTAGTAAGAATATTTATCGGCCAGGTCCCCCTGAAACTTAATATTACCCATGGGAAGTACACAGAGCTCCTCCACGTCGAGGGTGAAATCCTGGGGATGGTGAGTGTCATTGCTGGGACTTTGGCGATGCTGATGGGACAGGTCCCCTTTGCTCCTCTTACAGTTGTCATGGGAAGCCACGAGACTTTGTAGCGTGGATTTAGCCTTTTTAGTCATTGAACCATCTTGGTCTGGTGTAAATACGTTTCTGTAGCCTCCATCCTTTCTTAGTGTCTTCTGGCTGCATTTCCTTTTCCAGACCTCAGAAGTGCATTAGTGCTCCTCCAAGGTCAAACATTAAACCAGTAACTCTGGGTTTCATCGTTCAGTAAATCTCACAGGTGCTGCGGTGGGTTGGACTGCAGCTGGTGCCACCTTGCTCTTAGCCAGACCCTGTGGGGTGAAGCACAGCAGCAGCACCCACCATTCTTCCTCTCGGTGGAATCTCCCAGCCATGCTATCACAACCATGCAGCTCTCGGTCAGTTGAGAGCGAGCACTGGGGGACCTGGTGGCTCCCCTGTATGCTGTGCCATCAGTTGCTCCAAAAAGACCCCTGGACTGGGGATAGGTACATCTCTGTGCATTTCTTAGCCAGATCATTGCATGCATGAGATTGTACTGTTAGAAGTTCCTGGGCTGGTTGCAGTTTATCCCAGCTCTTTTTGGAGTAGGTGATTTGGAGCTGCTGCCAAATGAGGGGGGAGCTGGATGAGTCACCTTGATGCTGCCTGCACGGCTTGTGCTGGGGAGTGAACACAAAAAAATGTGCAGATCCAGGGGGAGGGAGGCTCCTTGGAAGATGTGCGGTCTCCAGGGTGTGCTTGGAGCTTGGCCTCGCACGGGGCTCTCTCCCTGCTGGCTTCTGGCTCGTCCTTGGCCTTTGCAGTCATTGCACAGTGGAGCCCCAGGCAGATGCTCGTGTCAAAACCCCCAGGTCTTCGTTCCTGTCCAAGGCTGTGCAATGGAGATTTCAGCCACCCCTTGCTGGCAGCAGACAGTGCATCTTTCTTACTGAGCAGATGAACTGCTGGGATGCTCAGAGCCCCCTCGGCCTCAGCAGGCAGCTCTGGTGAACGCAGGGGGTGGTGTCAGTGACCCATGAGGGCCGTCCCGTGCTGCGTCCCACCAGGCTGCCTCCCTCCATCATCCCCCAGGGCACTAAAAGCTGCTCTCTCCTTCCTTGCAGCTTGATGCATCACTGTCAGGCTTGCCGGGGTACCACCACTCCACAGTTAAGGCAACCAGGTAAGGCTAAGGCTACCAGGGGAAGAGTGAGAAACTCGAGCGTTCGGGATATTCAACTTGAGATGCACCTTCTCCATTTTGAGTCAGTGATGGGCTTGATGCAATCCGGCCCGGTGGTAGTGCAGGTCTGACCACCTTGCCTGGCTCTCCCGGTGCCCTCCTCCAGGCCTGAGCAGCTTGGGGACAGGCTTGTGAGCTGCCCAGGAGGGGTTTATGGCTGGTTTCAAAGTGAGCTACCAGCACTCCTCTCACCCCAAATTTATGTCTCTGTGTAAAAGTTTGTCCTGTTTTTAAGATCTGTTACAATGCATGGCTGTTTCAGTATGTATACAATATTGTGTCTGTGATAAGCATCACTTGTGTTAATAAGAGTCCTATGTATAAGGTGCTAATGATGACATCAGACTCACTCGTGGTACTCAGGGCTGTTTTGTTTTGTTTTCTGTTAGGGATGCAAATTTTGTGCATGTTTCAGTGCAATCCACGTTCTCTTTAGCATCCAACGTGACTTTCTACGATGTTGTCAGCAGTGTGAAAAGCTACATTCGAGCTTGCAAAGCCCCCACAGAAGCCTGCCAGTTCATCTCCAGCCTGAAACCGCTCCACAGAGGTAAATAGCATCTGGAGGAACTGTGACGGGAGGGGAAAGGGATGTTTTATTTGGCTTCTTTTATAAGGGGCAGGGGGAAGATTTTGGCGTTTGGAAAAACCCCTCTGAATCTTTTTTATCTTATTTAAATGGGAGTCATCTTAAGAGCCTCGCAGTATAAAAAGGATGCAGATATCGAGCCTTATCTTTGCCACATGTGTGAGAAATCTGCCTCTCTGCGAAAACACCGCACAGCGCAGGATTAGAGGCATTGTTGGGCAGGCTTTCATCTCCAGGATGTGACACCAGGCCGCGGCCAGATCAAAAACCTATAAGTCTTAATTCCACCCACGTGGCCGGGAACCGGGGAAACGGGATGAAAGCCAAGAGAGAAGACCCCCCCCAGTGAAGTCGATTAGAGCTGCTGGAGGCTACATGGGGAGCTGCGCTCTCCTGCCTGCCCAATTTCAGTGTTGCAGGATTTAAAAAAGGTTCCCAATTAAGAGCTTTCGATTTCTGTACAGAATCCTCTACCCACCAAAGAGGAACACGGGTGCAGCACAGAGACCTGGAGAAGCACGTTGGTGTTGTGCAGGACCTTCTCCAGGTGGACCCCGTCGGTGGTGGTGGCCCCGTGCCCTGCACCTCCCGGTCCTCGCTTTCCGCAGGAGCCATAGAGGAAATTTAGCCGTGAGAGGTGCCGGCAGGTTGCAGGGAGCGAGCACGCTGGAAAGATGGGCTCCTGCAAGGAAACTTCTGCACGTGGAGCTCTGTGACTTTGGGGTTCAAGGCTTTGAGGTTTGGCTTTGAGGATGAAGGGCAGCAGCGCTTAGCCTGGTGTAGTGGGAAACCCCTCGGATCATTTTGGCAAAGTAAACATAAAGATGAGAAATTTAGCGTGTGCTTTTATTTTAATGTACCGTATTTTAAAGCCATACTCCACCACGGATTGAATTAAATTATTTTGGTAGACTTACTCAGATTATATCTAGCCGTTACCTCTGATACAATGCTTCTGGTAAAGTCTACTTCTAACTTGAAATAAGCAGAATAAGAAACAAATTATGTTCTTGTGTAAGTACTTAAAAGAAAAGATGTCAGAACAACAAAAAAAAAAAAAGATGATGGATCTAGCAGGGAGAGGTTTATGAAAGGTGAGTGCCAAACGAGTGACATGTTTTCCATAAAATCCTATTTCTTATGAATATTTTTTCATTTGTTCATTCCATTTAGTCTGACCTCCCAGCAAAAAATGTGAATTCAGTGACACAATTTCCATCATTTACCCACAGTTTTGCTGAATGCTCATTGTAACAAATCTGACTTTCTAAAGTAAAACACTGCTTCAAAGTAATGTAAATGAAAGGACAAATTCTTCGATTGAAAAATGAAAAAAATCCAGTGCTTACTATTGAAATCGAAAAAAATTGGTTTAGGCTGAGCAAAATGTTTTGTTTGATATAAACTTAAAAATGGATTTGTTGAACTGTCTCAGGGGGTGAATGTGTTTCAGCTTGAGCCAAAGTAATTTTTTCTTTTTCATTTCCCCTTCTGCCCCCGAGCTGAAACTTTTATTATCCGCCCCCTCTATTTACATGTACAAACAACAGTAGATATGCAAGAAATGGTGACATAGCGTAATGTTGTCTCCTAATGGACCAAGTATTATTTTATAAAAAAAGAGATGAAAGCAGCTAATGTTGGCTGCCTCTTCCCAACAGTTGGCAGCTTGTGCAAGCAGAAAGACCCCGAATGCGACAAGGAAACTTCTGAATGCACCGACTTCGATGGGGTCGCGCTCTGCCAGTGCAAAAGTGGGTACTTCAAATACAACAAGATGGACCACTCCTGCAGAGGTATTGCTCTTTATGTGGCGTATTTTGCCTGAATTTTGCTTAAACTTTTTGTTCCAGTGGAAATGAATGTGTGTATCGCTGTGCATGCAAGAAGCTCAGTATTATGAATAAATATTAGCAGCTCAAGTTTCTTTTATTTAGTTAGGGGACTTTTGAGCAGACACTGAAGATACAGTCTCTCTCTAGGAATAATATTATCTCTTTCTGGAGCACGCTGTGAGTCACAGTGATTGAGAAGTAGAAAGGGGCCCGGCTGCTTTGGGCTCCAGTTCAGTGGCACAGAGCAGAGATGACGTGCAGCTCTGCCTGTTTTCATTTTGTCTGAACTCTCAGCGAACTTAGGAGAAGTGCTTTAAACTTACAAGCTTATACTAATACATCATCAATATTTTTAATATAAGTATCTGAAAAGGATTATGAATTTATTTTTCATCTGGGTTCCTAATAGACATTTTGAGCTTAAGAGTTAAATTAGTTTTTAGCTATTCCTCAGATCATGAAATCTGGTTTTGCTACATTTTAAACAAGGTCTTTGTCCAAGTGCCAGTGGTCAAAGTGACTTCTGTAGGATCAGGGTGTCCATTCCCTAGTTCCAGCGGTCGTTGTAGGGCTTCTTAAGAAATGAAATTTTCTGGTGACATATCAATAAGAATTGCAATAGTGGTTATATATTGTTCCTGGCAGTGTCTGCTGGGTTGCTGTTAAAATAGGAGGAGATGCTTTGTTAATTCCAAATCTGATCAGAGCAAGAAAAATGTGTCTGGAAATAACTCATGTGCTGCAGGCTCTGGGGATGGACATCTCAGAGGTGGGCATCTCTTGGTCCCAGGTCATGGTCCTGCCTCTGCTCTGCAGCTCCAGGCAAAATCTTTCTCCTTTGTGTTTTCCTTCTCTCCCTTCGTCTTGTATGTTGGGGGGAAGGATTTTTATTAGGAAATACTGTCTCCACCTACACTTGAGAGGCAGAGAAGGGCTCACACAGTGAGCAGGGAGCTGAGCTGAAACCTGGGAGGCTTTTGCCCAACTCCTGCTCCACCACTGACGGTGGGGACCCAGGACAAGTTACTCCATTTTTCTTGTCCATGTCCCAGTGTTGTGAAGATAAATACCTGAAAGGCTGTGAGGCACTTGGGTGTGATGGTTACAGAGGGCTAAGAAATCTAACATCTTGTACATGTGGATACTCCCTACTTACAGGTCTTGTTTGCTGTGCAAAATATTAAAAACCCTTCCTGCACACAGTGAGGCCTCAACTCCACCTTCAGCTTGCTGCTCTCAGCAGGAAACATCTTATCGACCAGCTTGAGAGTGTCTGAGGGACACGGTTGATGTGGAATTTAGGCTGTAGTGCAGTGGCATGAGGGTAGCAGCAACTGCATGGTGCTATGCTCCAGCAAGATACCAGATTTTCAGCATCACTCTATTCTCATGCAGGGTAGTCGGGATTTTTAAAGGGTTTTTTTTTCAAAAGCCAAGCTATGGCCCTCATTTGATATTTAGGGCCATTCTTTCTGATAAATATAGCATACAATATGCCAGCCTCTTTGAAAATCTCTGCCCTTTTAGTGACTAAACAGGAACTGAGGTCTCCCGAGCATCCGACCCTCATTGTGGGTCGTGAAAATGTGGCACAGTAACTCCAATTATAGTATTTGCAAAGAGGGAAATGGCTATTGTGCTGCCCTGTCCGGTCTCCCCCGTGGGAAGGCGGGTGCGGCTGGGAGAGCCGCCGGGGTCGGGGGATCGGCCGCCCCGACCCCCAGGGAATGTTCTGTCCTGCCTTACGGTGTCTGTCCCCTGGGGCATGCTCGAAAAAGCATCCCGTGGACCAAGGAAGGGTTGGGTCTCTGAGCCACAGGAGTTTCGACATGCTGGCCGTGGTACCACTTGGTGTGCAGTTTGGTGGTCTCTGGGTTCTTGCTGGTTTTCAACCTTCACCAGTATCTTCAGGGCTCTTTTAGCAACAAAGTGATAAACCCAATGTGCCAACTTTTCCAAGGGATGCTATTTTTAATAGTACAGAGTGTTTCCAGAGCTAAGCAAGGAGAAGTAAAGCAGGTTTCCAAAGAGACCCCCCCGAGTCTCTTTCGGGAATGCGAAGGCAAAGGAATCCCGAGTAGAAAAGCACAACTCGATAACTTTCCTTGGCCCCTGACACTTAAGCCTTTCCTCTGTTCTCTGCTCATGTTTGAAAGCTTGCCGAGTGAGTGTGACAGCATAAGCCCTCCTGGGAGCGTGTTCAAAGGAGCAGGAAAGATGCCAGAGGAGAAAGCAAAGTGGCAGGAAAAGGCTGGGTGAGGAGAGGAAAAGACATAAGCACCGAGCGTTTAAGTTAAGACAGAGAGATGCATGTTCAGGATCTTGCTTTTCCTCCTTACTGCCCTATAGCCTCCTGGCTATATGGCTCCTGGCTGTGTGCCCGTGGGGTCCCAAGGGCTGCTCCTGCCCAAGGCACGGCTCCAGCTTTGAGACCGCTCAAGGTGTACGTGCCCTACACACATGACTTGGCTAGGGCCAAGGGCGAGATCCGGCTGGGCTCCAGTATCTGCCGGTGGGCTCTTCCAGGCCATTCCAACATGCAAGTGGCGGGCTGGGGCTGACACTGGGGTACACGGGGCTGCTGCGCTCATTCGAGAAGGTAACTCCAGCTAGCTGTCGAGGTGATGCCTCCCTCCCCTTCACTGCAGGTTTCATTACTGCCTGATCTTGTGGCTCGTTTTGGTAGAACATTTGCTCCATAATGTTTTCAGTCTGCTTTTGTTAGTGAGTGAAAGGAGCAACACATCCAGTCTCATTTTGCTAATGCCTCGGTGTTATGAATGATCCAGGCAAGGATCCTTTGGGATTTACTACTCTTGCCCTGGCTGGTGGTTGACTGAGGCTCTTAACTCTTGTCCAGTTACCTCTGGTCTCTTCCTTGACTTCAAAGAAACCATCTTAGAGAAAAATAAATCCAGTGCAAAAAGTATCATGATGAGATGTAGCAGGGGGGCTATATAAAGAGCCTCACCCTCCCCATCCCCAGCTCTGGGGGAATAAATGGAGTGAAAGAGGTAGTGAAGGAGTAGTGGAGCTATATAGGGCAGAGAAAGGGGTGCAAGACCAGCTATCATGGACATCAGCCTCCCCACTATTGTTGGTGCCAGTTGCTATGGCACATCTGTGCCTAGAGCTGCAGTATTCACGATGCGAGTGCATCACCCATCTGTGTCCACACACCCTGCAGGGAAAATGGCATGCTTAGTGACATGAGATGCTTAGTAAATGGTATATAAGCAAATAGTATTTCAATATGACCACAAGCAAGGCCAGGCATCCAGGAGCAGAGTGCCAGGCACACTGCAGGTTGCGTGTCCTGGAAAGCAGAGACTTGAGCAGAGCTGTGAAGAGAGCCTGGCAGGTAAAGAAGAGGTCCCCAGGTCTAGCTTGTAAGACTAATATGGTCCCTAGGTGCATTTAGGGGGCACAGGCAGGCAGAAGAGGGGAAGTTTTCTTATCCCTGGGCTTGTGACATCTATTTCTGGGAACGAGAAATCGAAAGGGCCAAAGAGAACCTGTGAGCATTCAGACAAAACCTGCAATAATCACGGAGACTCAAAGATCTCAGTGCACTTGGCTTTATTAAAGGCAAAGGAGTGATTTAATGGTGAGGAGGAGAACTGTGATCATATAACCTTTCCCAGCCTAGCAAGAAAACATCCAAAGGCTGGAATTTGATACTGGGATAATTCAGACCAGAAAAAAGGTGAATGTTTTTAATGGCTGGGGAAATTAACTTCATGAGCATCTGACCCAGGGTTGTGGTTGATTGTCCATCACTGAAAAGAATAAAATCAGTCTTGGATGGTTCTCTAAAATGTAGTTCCAGTTAAACTATTTGATTTGAAACTGGAATTAAATTTAGGGAATTTCTGTGACCTGTATTATGAGGGGAAGGTCACAGTCACATTGCTCCCTGCTGGCATCAATATCACTTGTTATCGGTGCTGGAAGAGCCATAAACTTCTGAATCCGGCCAGAATACCAGTGCTCTCTCTTGATTTACTACAATATTGCCAGCCCATCCTAGTGGACATTACACATTTGTTCATCTTTTCTTCCTTCCTCCCCTCCTGTGCTAAGTGTTTCCGAAAATACAGTGGCAGGTTGTGCCGGAGGGGAAGAGGCATCTGGTGCGCTGGGAGCAGCAGAGGAGGAGGTGAGGGCTTTGCTGTGGCTTAGCTGGGACCTCTGCTGGAAGCTCTCTCTTCTCCCCACAGATTTCCTCAGGCTTGCTGGGGTTAGAGAGCGCCTGAGCTTTCAGCTGTGGGTTATCCCTACAGTTAGACAGCAAGGCAGAGGGAAGAGGTCTTGAGACCTGCTGCCTCACCAGTTTTAAGCATATAGTGTTTGAGACAGGGAAAAAAAAAAAAATCCATGAGTGTTTTTGTTTTCACTTAATCTGGTTTTATTCCCTGTGGAGTGGGCTGCAGGGGTTTCCCAGACCCCTGTGTCTTGCAGACCCTCAAGTGCTGCTGGACTTGCTGGCCCTGACTTGTCCCTCTGCCCAAAGCGACTCATCTGTGTCATTCCTACTCAGGTCCTTGAGCGACCACCTTCGCTGCCTCTGCGAAAGGCAGTGGATCTGCAGGAGCTCTGGTGGGACTATTGCTGAGAAAAGCCGTGATTTTATCAGTACTCTGAAGAATTGTGTGTCCAATGTAATTGTATGTCTAACACCTTTGCTGTTCATCAGAAGGGTAGTATAATTTTCTCAGATAATTCAGGCGATGAGATAGCTGTCCATAAGCGCAGAAATTATTTTATTTTGAAGCGATGATTTCAGTTTATCACCAACATTTTGTACATAGCAGTTTTCTGGGTTATTTAGACCTGGTAAATTTAATTTCTATCCTATAGAAAAATATGATATTTTAAAATTTGATTTAGCTCCAAATTGGAAAGAAAAGAAAAAAGAGGTGACATGAGGCAAAACATAACATACCTGTTTGGGTTACCCCAATTGTTTTTGCATAACATTTTGTGCGGTACTATCATTTAAAAGTATCAATGCTAAAGTAGCACAGTTCAAATGAGGTTTCAAAACAAAAACTGGAGGCACTTGCAGATTTTTTTACACTGCTATTTTGTGGGAAGCAGTACAAGTCTGCAGTGAGTTTCCATTTGGGCAAGAAGAGGTTCTGCTGGGAATTACGTTACTGTGCCAGGCTCCGGGCTAGCTCTGCCGGGAAGCCCTGAAACGGTCCTGTCAAAGCCAGCAGGAGGTGAATTTAAGTGCACGGTGTTTTGCCCAAACCAGAGATGTTGCATCACATCAGAGTGCATCC